ATATATATATATATATATATATACTGAAACCGTGGTCACTGCTGTCGTTTAGCTGATCTTCGTTTCGAACATAATATACGCTTACCTGTTGCAAATACTGGTCAAGTGCATTATACTGATGCGATTGTTGCTGGATATCTGAGCGCAGGTTTGTGATTGAAGTCGTTTTGCGCTGTTGCATCTCTTCACTGCAGATGGTAGACGACAGCTCAGTTGCCCGTACTACCTGTGGAATGTCATGGATGACACAATTGTATTTCTATTCACGTTTATTGTGAAACGATTCTTATTAACATCATCTAATCATATACAATTGTGTTGTCTATTCAAGTCTATAGTGACACAATTCATATCAATATCATCATCGTCCTTCAAAGACAGCAACAAGTATTTGCAAGCATTGATCAGATGAGCAGATATCAATAACACTGAGGTATGTTCGATATACTCGAGAGTGCAATGCCAGTGTCACCTATGCAATGTATAGTAAGAGCGCAGACTACATTTAAAAACGATGTAGCACCTTCGTAAAAATTGTTAAGTATCTTGGAAAATGTACAATGCTGACTATATATTACTCGTACTAACAAGGTGCCTACCTGCGTGGACAGCTCCTGGTGTTGCGCAGCTCTTCTGGCTTTCAGTTTGACATGTTCGGCATCCAGTGTTTGTATTTCATCCTCAATAGTCTTTCAGTCAGATGCAAACAATGTTGTACAAAGTGAGTCCACATTTCGCTGTTGACAGTTGTCTGATAGACACGGGTATCAAATTATGAAGTATTATCCCAGTTTGGAACACCATTTTATGTGCTTTATACTACGCAGAAGTATGTATCCGAAGTTTGTTGCTGAATACACATACATAAATATCTTGTTTCTGTGTGTTCCGGGTGATGTCGACAGTTGGACTCAAGAAGAAAAATGAGGCGCAGCGAAAGGGTCTGAGCTTCGCAGGCATGATGGTCTTTCTTTCACAAGTTCTTGTTGGTTTGCCACAAACATGGAGCACATGTCAATTCCTAAATGCACTTAAGACTGCGTATTGATGAACTTTCAAAGCACTCCTGCTGTATAATCCTGTACATTGATAACCTCTCTTTGCGATAACTTACACGTCTGCGCTGCACTGAATATATAATACGGCAACTGAGTGTGCGAACACATATGTACAAACCATTGGATCAAATAGATATGCTTCTGGGGTATATCTTGATGTGTCGCCAGTGGCGCTAATTCATTTTACGCATTTTTTCATTTGATATCTAACCAATCGCGCGATGGACTGTAGTGTAGGTGGTATGTGAAGGACAATAGAGCGAGCATGCAAGATAGTTTGTACCCGTGAGATTCCATGAGAACTTCGAAACACATCCATAAATCTTCGCTTAAGTTTTCAAATATGCAAGAGGCGTGTTTGATAATACGAACGACCGACCTCAAACACGTTCAGTGCGGAAATCAATCCCGCCACAGGGACTAATACTGAGTGCCAATGAATACTCAAACACCGTGGCAACTAATTCATTGAATTCAACATTGAAAGACATGTGAGCGAAATAAGTAGATTATACATGAGTGCGACAATACCGGGTCCACGTAAAACCATAGACGCAATGTTCCAGTAGTCAACAGGGATGTCACAATTGCCACATATACGTGCGATTCAATCGCATATTCATGACTAAACGAACCCATACCTGTAAGTACTTCTTGAGAGTAGATGTTTCCACTCGCAACAATACCAATTGGGTGAACGCGTCCGCTTTTAGTTCCAACTGCTCACTCACCAGTTCCTGGTATGAAACGCATTCGACTCTTAGAGACTAGAAAAGAAGTGAAGCTAGGTGACAAGGCGACATCATTCAAAACCTTACTGGTACGTGTACTTCGTGTACACATACATAAATGAACACGGCTATCGTGTACGCACCTATCTATTTATGTATGCGTGTATAGATAAATAGGTATTTATGTATGTTAGTATAGATAAATAGGTATTTACATATTTGCACAGATTTTAACGCGCAATTCGATGAGCATAACATAGATGATCAAAACAGTATTGAAATACCATGACTCGCATTATGCAGCTGCACTGTGTCTCACATAAAATGGGGTGCGCTCCTTTGCTTTCGACACTGAGCCTCTGATACTAAATTGGCTTAGCTCACTGCATAATGTATGTATAATTTACTATTTTCCATGGTATCTTTGTCCACATGACCTACAGAATATACGTCGTCCTACTGGTTGTTTCCATAAAATCTTGATACACATGCTCCAAGCACAATTTGTACGCTATACACCTGTGTGCACCCATTTTTATACAGACAAATGTGTCAAACAAGATATCAATTCACAATTAGCTGACGGCATTTGAACCATAGGAAAAACATTTTATAGATATACCGTACTGCAAACACCAAGCGACGACTAACAAATCACAACTCCATTGCATCTGCACCACTGGAAGACTCATTTTTGAATTTACCGTACTACAAACACTGAGCGACAACCAGCAGACCACAACTTTATTGGCAAGTTACGTGTTCTGAAATCAATAAACATCTTTCTTGATGTGTCTTGAAAGAACACAATGCTACGATGAAATGGCAAGCTCAACTCACAATGGCTGTGTGAATTCCATACTTCTATACGAGTATACGATTATATGTAAACATGCATATAAGTTTACATATGTATGCCAATTGACTGTTCCGATTTTACCTAGTTGGATAGCGATACTCATAGATACCCGAGCAATTGTATACTTTTGAATACAGTATTGATTCCACAGATGACACCTTGCACTACAATTGCAAGTATTACATCGGAAGTGAAAATAACTGTACCACATATGGGCTATTAGCTTTACGCATTTTTTCTAAACTGAATTCGATTGCTCAGACAATCTTGTCAAATTTGGCTGGAAAACACTCTCTGGCAAACTCTGCAACGTGTCTGTATGCCTTACTTACACTAACGGCGTCGATTTCAGTCAAAACTTCAGAGCATTCTTCGGCACATTCAAGTACTTTCTGTTCGACTAATCACTTGTATAAAACACAAACAAGATGATGATAATTGGGTGCTGATGCATGAGAAAGCTTGTATCTTCAAGACCATATTAGAGAGCATGTATGTGGTGTATCGGGAAGGTATGGGAACGTTCATTGTTCAACAAGCATAGCGTCTAGAGCGACGGTTAGGTATATACAGTGCGAGAATGTATACGCACATATGAGTGAGAGAGTATGTTAATAGATGGCTTGAATAAATAAGCGGACATGCAAAAGGGTCAGAATATACTTCCAAATTTGTAGAAAGAATATAAAAATGAATAAATGAATGAGCAGGTATTTGTAGCTGTCGAGAGGGAAAACCATGCAATTCTGCATGTGAATTGATATCATAGTAAGAACAATAAAGTTAGCATCGGATTAGATGAATGTATGCGATTGACTAAGGTGAGGTAGTAGTAGCAAGTGTATTACGGCCCATGAAATAGTATACATCATGGTACACGGTGATTGAGTAGACTGACGATAGCCCTACTACAATAAGAGGCAGTTTACGAAAGGTTTGTGGTGAAACCCCTATCTGGGTGATGATATTTATCCCTATAGATCTACGATTGCCCCCCCCCCCCAAATAAAAATTAAGTGTATTCCGTTAGGGAACCACCATCAGACCCATGCCTAGTGACCGGGGTGGTATATGGTGTTACGAGGGATGTAGCCCCAATTGACACACGACTAAATGACTATCCCATCTAATGATGATTCAACGAGATATTAGTATATTTCGTCACTAGAATAAGTAGGATTACAACAGTGTGTGCCAAGCCTACGTAAGACCTCGGGATATGCTTTGGGGGGGGGGTGGGCTAGGACGAGGGTTATAGGCAAATGTGGTAAATGTTGATATTCACTTATGAAGCGTTATAGATAAATAGGGTAAATTTGAAAATTCACATAAGTGAATAGATGTGGGAGACAGCAATAGTAAGCAAATATCTATGGCTAGGTATGTAGGGTGGGTGTAACGGTGCGAGCATAAGGTACCGCGAATGAGCGAGCATGTGATTGCAGGTTTTTTGCACAAGTACGAATGAATTTGTCGCTAATGACTCAATGGGGTGTTAGTAGGGTCAAAATACTTTGTGAGCAGTGTGGACAATCCTAAAGGATCTAAAAACAAACATACACACCCATAGACACAAAAAAATAATACACACATCAAACACACACACACACACACACACACACACAT